TTCAGGTCAAAAGTAAGCCAAACAAACGTAAGTTGCTGGATTCTTGTTGGGTACTTGCGTGGCTTACTCTTCAGCTCTGGAGAGACAGCTGTTACCGGACTCCATTACGTCACCTCCCACGTCCATCTTATTATCTGACGTTAAGGCTCATGTTCAAATCCGCTGTTACAGATACTTAATCAGAGGACCCCGTGCACTGGAATCGCAATTGCCCTATTATCTCAGATTGCGTGTCTCGTGTTTTCATGCTTTCTTTTACTTTAACTGCAATGTTTTCCCCTCTTTATCTATCTATCTATGTCTATGCAGTTCTTTGTTGGACCTTGACATTCTTTTCAGTTTCGTAATCTTTTTTTACATAGTCGGTAGGACTCCTTGGATGGGGGATCAGCCCGTCGCAAGTCCGATACCTACACAAACAGAATAAACGCAGACATTCATGCCTTGAGTGGGATTCGAACCCACGATCCCAGCGTTCGAATGAACGAAGACAGTTCATGCCTTAGACCGCGCGGCCGTTATGATGGTATAGTCCAAGAAATTAGTTCACAATATCAGCAGAAATACTGTCACGTTACCACGCACAGACTTTGATCCCTCCCATTTTCTCTACTTAGGTTCGAAAGGTCACGATCGACCCACATTTTACCTCCTATGATCACGTGATCATGAACTAAATGAATAAATCTACAGGGTGATTGTAAATTTTTGTCGGGGTTTCCATGGCCTATAATTTTCAAACCGGAAACAGCAAAATAAAACTGCTTACGGAATATGAAAATGTAACTCAATCAATCAAGACATCAATGCGGCGAGTACAGCGTTGCCAAATAAAACTTTCTGAGTTATACTTTCATATTCCGCAATGAATTTTATTCTCCTATTCCCGGCTTGAAAATTATAGACCACAGAAACCGCTACAATAATTTAGAATCGTCCTGTATACCATAAACGGTGTAGGTCACAACATTGTGTGTGTTATTGATATACGCGAAGAATATTAATTAATCCGACTCTGCTTTCTATCCAAACAGTTATGTGTAGTCCATATTTGGCAGTGTATATTTTAATACAGTCTAGGTTAGGACTGTGAGGTCAGCCAGTCGTTAATGCAAGAAAATCAGATGTGTGGCATCTCTCTAAAGCATTAATCTTAAGCCAGATACACACGGTACAGGCTGTGGAAGCCTATAGGGTTGTGAGACGTCGAGGTTTCCACATTTTCTAGACAGTCGGTCCACAGATGGCGGTGACGTCGTCAGTCTTACGCGCCGGCCGCCCTTTACGCCCCAGGAAGATTCCTGGTACTCATTTCTGTTAGAGGCTGAGTCGACCCCAGGGCCATAGTGCAGCTGAAAGGATTGGGTAAACTGGGAAAATCCTTCCAGCCGCCCTGCGGTCCTGGTGATGCGTTATATGTTTATATGAGAGATAGCGATATTTGTAAGCGTTCGATAAATCCAGTTAGCAATCCAAACCTTGTTTCTAATCACTAACACGTGACAAGATTATTTATCTATTAAAGAAAAGCCGTTCTGTAAACCTAAAATGGCCGCTTGGGAATTGAAATGGCGCTTCAAGGTTAACATAGCGCCATATATCGAGCTCCTGGTGTTAGAATTTTGTACTAAATCGATAGAGACATGTAATTCTATCAAGAAAGTAATTCAAAGAGTGAATTTCCTGCCTTGAATAACGTTTGACTTTAGAATGTAATAAATTCCCTTGCGTAAAAGCCCTGCTATATTCTGAGGCTACTCATCTTGTCACTGGAGCATTCTGACGCAACAGAATATCGCAGTCACCAAACGGTGGAGATGGACATACGTTTAGCAGATAAAGAGGAAAGTGCTTTGGAGCTCTTAAACTCGCGTCATGTTCTGAAAGGCTGTCTACTCTCTGTGAAATATTACATTTAAGCGTCATGTTTGGTATCACTCTGCAACACAGCTTTACGGTTTAAGCACTACATCTTAACTATTTCGTTTTGTCTTTTCTTATTTTAAAAACAAAATAAAAGTAGGCTTATGAGTTAACTTTCCTGTCCATGTGCCTATATGTGTATCCCCACGTATCGCTACTAGACAACGGCTCAGTAAACACGTTACCAAGGCAACTGATACACACGCAACAGTAGAGGAATTATTTGACGCATCGTTTTCTATAGTGTCCGTGTCGTATCAGTGGCGATTGGTAGCACGACTTCCAGAGTCGCGAGGCGGTATAATATGGTCATGAATCCTGCGGGACTCGGATCCAAGAATGGCTGCACTGGCGAGGACCAGCAGCAGTTGTAAACTACAGACCCTTCCTTCCATCAGAAAGGGCGCCTCGCGTCAACAAACCCGAAACTATATGTCAGTAACAAAAATCTGGTCTTTGGCCCAAGAAATACTGGCCGAATGACCGTCGGTCGTAACGTAACTTTGATTCTGGCTCTTTAAATTGTTAAAGTATTTTTTTTTCCTTGGCACTACAGCCCCAGTGGGCCTAGGCCTACCTCCATGAACTCCGTTCACTTCTGTTTTTCTCGATCTTACACGTTCGGTAGGACTCCTTGGGC